TCACTGGCATTCCTTCCCAGTCTCCTGCTGGGTCATCTTTACATCTCTGGCATGGAATGCCCACAACAGTCTTGGACCACTTTCCTAGCTCCATGCACTCTCATCCTGGTCCTTCAAAACCATCTGTTTGCTGATATCTCCTCACTTATGATCTCCAGCCCAGACTTCCTTGAACTTCAGACTCTCACATTCAATAGCCTGCTAAATACTTGCTAAACCATTATTGTTGCAAACCAAATGCTTGAATCTTTACTGTCTCTAACTCCAAACCTGCCCTTTTTGCTTCCTTCCTCATATCAATATATAATATTTCTTCTCTTCCTGTGACTCCGATTAAAATCCTTGGAGTAATTAATGACTACTTTCTCTTTTGCTCAAACTCTACATCCAACCCATGGGCCAAATTCATTAGATTTTTTTTTTTTTTTGAAATATGTCCATAAGTGAACACTTCTCATGTCCTCCACCACTCCCAAGGTGGTCAAAGGCATCTTTGTCTATCACATGGATAACTGCAACAGCCTCCTAACTGGTATCCCAGCCTCCATCTTTTCCCCTCCCACCTTCATGCGATCCCGGTATGACTAGAGTCAGATACTAGAATCATACTCAAAAGCCGTGAGAATGCCCATGTCACTCAAAAAATAAACCAAAATGCCTACTGTGGTTTGCAAGGCACTGCTTGGTCTGCCCAGCTCTCAGGCTCCACGACGTCTGTGACCTCATGCCCTGCTCTCCCCTATTCTCGCTCTGCTCCAGCCACAGCGGCTGCCTTGCCTCTCTGTGAATGCATCATCCTTGTTCCCAAACTGCTCATGTAGTGCCCTCTGCCTGAGACTGTCTACAGATATGGTCACTGTTCATCTCTTCCTTCAAGTCTGCATTGCAATGTCGCTTTATCAGTAAGGACTTCCCTGACCACAGTTGGTCCCACCCATCATTCCCTAGACTAGACCCTAGATTCTACAGCCTGCTTTACTCTACCACCTCATATGTGATCTAGTTAGGGTCTATCTCCCTTTCTATGGAGTGTAAGTTTTTGAAGACCAGGAGTTTGCTTTGCTCTTTTTGTATTCTGAACACTACAGCAGTATTTGGTACATAGTGTATGCTTTCAGAAAAGTTGTGTTGAATAAATGGTAGACCCATAATGAAGGCCAATTCAGCAATGTCTAGTAAAGGGAAACCAGCTATTCCATTTCTAGCCTGGGATACTAGAAAATATATTGAAAATGGTAATTGTAGCATTACATGTAATTGAGTGAAACATGAAATGCATTAAAGTATATCAATGAGGGTCCCAGGTATAGTGGCTCACGCCTGTAATCCCAGCACTTTGGGAGGCCGAGGTGGGCAGATCACCTGAGGTCAGGAGTTTCAGACCAGCCTGGCCAACATGGTGAGACCCCTCCTCTATTAAAAATACAAAAATTAGCCAGGCATGGTAACAGGCGCCTGTAATCCCAACAACTTGGGAGGCTACAGCAGGAGAATTGCTTGAACCTGGGAGGTAGTGGTTGCAGTGAGCCAAGATCACACCATTGCACTCCAACCTGGGCAACAGAGCCAGACTCTGTCTCAAAAAAAAAAAAAAAAAAAGTATCTCAATAAGGAAAATAAATTGTGGCACATTTATACAATCCTATGAAGACTTTGACATCATATGCTAGAGCTACATGTACGAATATGAATGATTCTCAAAAATATAATGCAAGTTAACAAGTGAACAGGATGTTCTTAATATTCTAAAATGTTGAAAAACAACTATATATGCAATTATAGGTGAGGACACATGCAGTAAATGTGCAGAAATATGAGTGGAACGGGGCTGTGCATGCTGGCTCACACCTGGAATCCCAGCACTTTGTGAGGACTGCTTGAAGCCAGGAGTTTGAGACCAGCCTGGTCAACACAGCAAGACCATGACTCTACAAAAAATTAAAAAATCAGCTGAGTGCAGTGGCACCCTGTGGTTATAGCTCCTTGTGAGACTAAGGCATGAGGATTGCTTGAGTCCAGGCATTTGGGGCTGCACTGAGCCATGACCACACCACTGCACTCCAGCCTGGGTGGCAGAATAAGATCTTATCCCTAAAAAAAGAAAGAAAGAAATATGGGTGGGAGGGATATACAACAGCCTCAAGACAATGGCTGCCTGCAGAGATGGTGGAGAATGGAAGGGACAGGGTTTCAGACATATCTGTAACAGTGTTTTCTTTGAAAAGGAAGCTCTAAAATAAATACTGCAAAAAAGTTTTGTTAAATCTAGGTATCATCACAATATTTGCTGTATTTTTTACACAAATAAGTACTTGTCATATTATTCTTTACTTTTCTATATGTTTTAAATACTCCGGAGTTTTTTAAATGAACTGAAAATTTTTACAATGCAGAAAAGTAAAATGTCTGAAATAAAATCTGGTAGGCCTGGAAGCAGGTACACGAATAAAGGGCAAAATTTGCAACTGGCAAAACTAAAAACAAACTTGTTGCCAGGATAGCTTGGTTTATTTTCTTTATTGGGTATGGTTTGGGTCAAAGGACAAAAGGGACTCAGCCCTTTAAAAAGGGAATGTCTGATTGGGCTGTTACTGCTCAGCAGGGCAGGGAAGGCAGGTTAGCAAAGGTGCTTGCTATCTCTGGGCGGGCAGAAGTCCGAGACACAGACGTTTGTGTATACGCTACACCAGAACACACCTGCTGCATCTGGAACGTAATTTGATAACACTCACAAAGCGAGAACTGGAAGGGATGGCGCGGAGCAATGCTCTCTATTTTACAGGTGGAAAAACTGAGGTACAGAAGCCAAGTGTTAGTTAAGGTTCAAAGTCTTGCTCAATTCAAAAAGGCTGTTGATCTCAATTTAAAGCAGTTTCTATCCACTCTCACATTAAGATAACTTTCCAGTTTTTCTATGACTTTAAAAATAACAGGCTGGGTGTGATGTAATCCGACATGTAATGTAATCCCAACACTTTGGGAGGCCGAGGTGGGCAGATCACTTGAGGTCAGGAGTTCGAGAACAGCCTGGCCAACATGGCTAAACCCCATCTCTACTAAGAACACAAAAATTAGCCAGGCGTGGTGGCAGGTGCCTGTAATCCCAGCTACTTGGGAGGCTGAGGCAGGAGAATCGCTTGAACCCGGGAGATGGAGATGGCATCACTGCACTGCAGCCTGTGCCACAGAGCAAGACTCTGTCCCCCTAAAAAAATAAATAACAAATATTTGGTAGCTTAAAATTTATTATAAAAATTTATATTGAATATTTATAAAAATACTTAACAAAAATATTAAATAAAAAATATGGCCAGGTGTGGTGGCTCATGCCTGTAATCCCCGCACTTTGGGAGGCCAAGGTGAGTGTATCACCTGAGGTCGGGAGTTCGAGACCAGCTTGGCTAACATGGAGAAATCCTGTCTCTACTAAAAAATACAAACATTAGCCAAGCGTGGCTGTGCGTACCTGTAATCCCAGCTACTCGGAAGGCTAAGGCAGGCGAATTGCTTGAACCCAGGAGGGGGAGGTTTCAGTGAGCTGAGATCAGGCCACTGCACTCCAGCCTGTGCGACCAAGTGAGACTTCAGAAGAAGAAAGAAGAAGGAGGAGGAGGAGGAAGAGGAGGAAGAGGAGGAGGAGGAGGAGGAGGAAGGGGAGGAGGGAGGGGAGGGAGGAGAAGGAGGAGAAGGAGAAGGAGGAGAAATATAAGGAACGACCTAATCACCTGTCAATAGGAGAATGATTGAATGATATATAATTACGTATTACAATATCTAAGACAAGTCTTAGAAGAATGGTTGTGGTTGATATGTATTGACTAAGAAAGATGATTATAATATATAATAAATAGGGGTACATTTACAAAGTATGCCAACATCTTGCCATTTTTATAAAAAAGCAAACAAAAAGCTGTTTATGCGTACATGTATTTATATAAGCTTAGGAAAACTACAGTAGATCCACATACTATAAAAAATGGTAGTGATATTGAAGGGGAGAGGATGAGGCTATTTTTTAGTTAACTTTGAGTTTACAATTTTTTATAAAGAAGAGGAAGTAGAGTGGGAGAAAGAGGAGCAAATGTGCCTTAAATACATCGCTCAGAAAGAATCACTTTTTAAATTGTATTTCTCCGACCTTTATATGAAATACATGTACACATGTATGTTTACAACACTAGTTCATATTATACACGGCTGTGCTTCCTCCTCTCCTGAGTTCATATTAAGCCGTATTTGAGGAAGGCTTTCATATGTGGCCTTCCTTCCATGCCAACGAATTCTCATTTTTAAGGGCTACAACATATTCCATGTCTGAAAGTACTGTAGCTTACTTCACCAGTCTTACTGGGGGGACATTTAGATTGTCTCTGGCTCCCCTCCCCGCCCCGCCCCGCAGAAACAACTGCAGCAAACATCCTGTACATCCATATTTGCACATTTGACTGCCTACTTAGGACAAATGAGCAAATGTGGACTTCCTAGGCCAAAGCTAATGCATCGGAGTTTTGACCCACAGTTCCAAACTGGCCTTCTGGAAAGTGGGTTTTCGTTGTTTGTCTTAAATCTATCACACTCCCACTCACCGGGCCAGGGACTGCTGCTTAACGCAGAATCAGGAGCTCAAATTCTGGCTGAACTTGAGAGACCTCTTTGCAATGAAGCGGCGGGGGTTTTCTGAGCGCTTTTAAGAAAAGGAAAGGGATCTGGCGAACCCCGAGACCCGCCCTGGGGTGGGCAGGGGGCGAGCTCTGGCTCTCCGCGCTGGCACAGGGGTGGGACAAGCCAAGTTCCCAGGAGGCTCGCCCAGCGCGTCCCGGGTCCCCTCAGAGTGGGGGCGGCCGGGCGTGCCCATCGCGGTCCCCGCGGGGCGGGGCGGGGCGGGGCGCAGGCGGGGCGGGGCCCCCTCTCCAACCGCCCGCCCCCTGCCTGATCCCCGCCCGCCCTCCGGCCGCGTCCCCACCGGCCCTGCCGACGTGGCGGGGCGGGACCCGCCGGGCACTCCCGCGCGCACTCTGCGGCCTGAGCGGTAAGAGCCCTGGGCACCCGATCCCCATCCCCTTCTCGGCGGGCGGGCGAGCGCCGGGACCGCCACCCCGGGGTTTGGGAACACCTTACTGTGGTGCCTAGTCCGGGACCCACGAATCATGCCCTCTGCGTTAGTGAGAAACCGTGGTCAGGGAGGACCGGGCTCCGGGGTGAGGGTCCGGGGCGGCGCGGCCGAGGGCCCTGCGTGGGTGCGGGCGTGTGAGTGTGTGTGTGTGAGTGTGTGTCGCTCTGGGTCCACGCTCATGCACACACCCACACGCCCGCACTCAGGGTCTGCCCCCTCGGCCGGCGCAAACCTCCGCGGAGCCTGCCTCGATCTCCCCAAGTATCCAGTCCGGGCACCAAGCAAGTCTGGAAAAGTGCCCCCAGGGGCCCGGAGCCAAGTTAGAGGCGGGCTGCAGGGTCCCCCAGCCCTAGCACGGAGGGAGCAGGTCCCTGTAAGACAGAAGCCTCGTCCCAGGGTGCGCCTGCCCTCGGCCTGGGCTCAGGGAAGCTCAGGCCTTGACCTCCCCGCTCCCGTGGCCTCACTCCTCCCCCAGCAACCGACCGGTGCCCGGCCTGCTCTTCCAGTCCCGCCAACACTCTAAGCAGGCACCGCCTCCATTCGCAGCCCCTGGGTTGGGTCCCACTCCCTATCCCAGCTCCCCAGACGCCCTCCACCCAGTCGGCTAGCCCTCGCCCCTGCCAGCCGGTGAGTATTTCCAGGCACCTCGGACCAGGCGCCTGAAAGTCACTGCCTTTTCCTAAGTAGGAAGACATCTCTCTATGGGCTGTGAGATCCATTAGCTGTGCCCTGCTGATCCCATCAGTTTCCACCCTAGACATGTTGAAGGACACAGGCAGGTGGTTTTTTAAATCAATGTCTCCTGTGACCTCCGCCAACCTGTGATAACTGAGAATGAGACAGGCTGTATCCTCAGACCCTCTTTTTGCCGTCTCTGCAGCCTAGGGGCTCCTTTCCGACCCCACCCGTGTGCCTGCGGCTCCTCCCCGCTTTCTTCCAGTCTAGCCTGAGCTTGGGAGAGAATCTGATCAACTTCTTACTTTGTAACCTTTAAGTGAAGGAAGGAGACGTTAGGGGTGGCTCTGAGGCACAAGTGAGGCAGTGCAGAAGGAATTTGAGGGTGGGAGGGGGCCTTCTTGAATCTGAGCGATTCAGACCGTATAAATAACCTTTTCGTTCTTTATTTGACTGGGCTTATACCGAACACTGTTTCTCTTTTATTAATCTCAAACATGATACCTTTCAATTCACTAAATATCTGAGGGACAGAAACCAAGCTAGGTGCTGTTGGTCACAGCCCTGGAGGACAGAATGGCAGAAGTAAATATTCCATAAATACAGGCAATAGAAATCTGTGCAAAATGTCAAAAACAGAGAAGAGGGAGCAGTTCATTTATTGGAAGGAGTGGAGCAGATTAAGGAAAACATCCTAATGAAAGGTAACATTAGACATTGGGTGTCTAGAGGAATAGGATCTTGCCAGGCAGCTGGAGGAAAGACAGCCCAAACAGGAACCAGCGTAAGCAAAGGCAGGGTGGTGGGAAGAGTTATGGGAAAGGGAGAAAAGACTGGTGAGGCAGGAGTGCAGGGTACTGAGAGTTACGAAGGGTGGACAGAGATTGCAGCTGGCTTACCAAGGGCTGTATGAAGGTATTCACACCTAGCGGTTTTTAAAGAGGGGAGCAAATAGGTCCAAAATGCCTGGCAGCCCACAAACACTAGACTGGATCCTGGGCACTGTAGACTTGCCAAGCCTCATACAAAGTGTTACAACCTGATTAAGAGTCTCTCATCCAGAGTTTTTATGCCTGGTCCTTCGCTGACTGGCACTTTTAAAAACAAAACAAAAACGGGAGATAAGATCTCACACAGGATGTCATCAAATATTTATTCTGCCAAGTGAGGCCAGTTTTTATAAAAAACCATCCACTGTCACCACTATTTCATAAAATGAAAGGCATTTTAATACCAAGGAGAAGCACAAAGACTACACTTGCGAGATGAAGGCAGGCCTTTACATTTAATAAATTTAGATTTATGAAAAACTTGCGATCTTGTCCTCATTTTTCTCTGTCATCACAACTTGCCCCTGGTCCTGCAGGTGGGGTTTGGAAAAAAAGCATCTAGGTCAGTTTGTCCATCCCTGCTTTATAGAGGAGCAGGCGAGGAGGTGCAGCAAGAATGAGTGAGTTGTGTGCCCACAAAGAGATACGGGGACCAGAGGCCACACTTCTTGACCCCTGTGAGGCACGACTCTTTCCACCTCAGAATACCATCCCTCCCACCTCTCATTAATCCTCCACGCAGCCTCTTGTCTTGGCCTCTCAGACGCCTGTTCTGAATCACTAGAATCCATCCCTGATGCTTGGACATTTGCACATGCTCTCGTCCCACCAGGCCTGAACCACCACATCAAAGCCACTTTCAAGGTTCTCCCTTACACAGGGTCAGTCTAGTTCAGGCACATCTGTCCTTGATTTACTGTGCCGCTTTGCATCACTTTTTAACTCTTTTGGGTTGGCTCCTCAAACACATGATTCATTTCTGAAGGATAGTGCTGCTTCAATACCTTGCATAGTTCTGGGAGCATTTTAGGTGATGAATGAATTTACTCATGAAATACTAAGTTATTCCCAGCCCACAAAGGCTTCTTTATACGCCACCCTTCAGAGTTCCCTGAAGCAGCCTCCTTGTTTCTGTAGGTCGGGTCTCCCTAGCCTCCAGGCCACGAGGCATGGCTACAGTGATCAGTGTTCCTAACCATAAATCAGGAAAGGTTTCTAAGTCTGGCTTATGGGACACCCAGACAGAGATGGAAACCGTCCCAGGAAACAGTGCTTGTCATGACTGTAATCCTGGTGGACTCCAGCAGTCCTTGCTCAGAAACAGCTGTGCATTTCAAACACAGTTTCTAGTGATTTCATACAAAAGGGTACAGTCTAAAAATTAGTTACGTTTCCCCCATCATAATAGCAACCACAGTCGATAAGGTCTACCAGAACAACCAACCAAATCCCCCACCTAAAAAAAAAGATTTTTTTTTTGTTTGTTTGTTTTGATTTGGGGAAAATTAGACCTGTAAGAGGTAAGAGATAGAGATAAATTTAGATTAGAGATACACGAGATACACACACAATTAGAAACTGAATTAGGGCTGATCTTGCATTACTTTTTTTTTTTTTTTTTTTTTTTTTTTTGAGACAGGGTCTCACTGTGTCATTCAGGCTGAGTGCAGTGGCATGATCTTGGCTCACTGCAACCTCTGCCTTCAGGTTCAAGCAATTCTCATGCATCAGCCTTCAGAGTAGCTGGGATTACAGGCACCCACCACCATGCCCAGCTAAGTTTTGTATTTTTAATAGAGACAGGGTTTCACTACACAGGCCAGGCTGATCTTGAACTCCTGACCTTGTGATCCGCCTGCCTTGGCCCCCCAAAGTGCTGGGATGTGAGCCACTGTGCCTGACCAGTGACCATTTTTTAAATTTAGCAGATGCAAAGATCTACTATTTCTAAAATTTATAAATTATACATAAATGTTTTAAACAATAATCCATAAATATTTTTTAACAATGCTCATTTGACATCTTACAGCTGAATTTCTGGGGTAGTTCTGAAGGGATAGTTCATGTTGGTTGAATGCAGAGCAGCCACAGGGAAGTTTTATTGCAGCACTTTTTGTACATTTGGGATAAACTGACCTAAGGCAATTTGGCCATCAGAGATAGGTAAGGGCTATAGGTTTCCTCCTCTGCAACTTCCCTACCAAGAGCTAAATTACCATGAATCCAAGTTCACTGACGGAATTCTGCCATAAACCCACACATGCATTAGCAACCAGGCTTAGTTAACCAGCCTGTTTTTATACTGCTCAGGGAAGTCCTAGCTCACTGTCCTTTTAGGCCTGTGTTCTATAGGCAGGACACAGCTAGGCTTCTAGTCCCCTTCAGGCTTTGAAGTCCTGCACTCAGCTAAAGGCCCTAGAAAAACTCTATTCCCAAGGGTAGTCAGCTGCTGGATTCAATGCAATCTCATGTCTTGGGTATAGAAGCAGAGAAGGCACCTGTACCTTATTTCTTGCTGATACATATATCTGAGGCACCTTTCAAGTCACCAGTGAAAAATTATTTCTCATATCCCTTATGCTAATTAGCATACCCTGGAGTGCCCATCAGAGAAGACAGTAGTTGAACCCTCTAAAAAGAACTGGACACCTCATTACAGATTTTTAAATGCTTTCTAAATACTCCTGGATAATATATTCCTGAATAAGGCACTTCAGATGTTATCCAACCACCCTTAGGGTGTAAATTAAAACTAAGGGACATGCCCCTGGCAAATAGTATATGCTGAACTATTTTAGGATACTTTATGAACAAGATAACACATTGAGGACAAGGCTTGTACATTCGATTATCCATAAAGGTTTTTATTTGTCCTTGAGTGTTTACCACAGACAGGTTTATTCTGATGTTCCTGCTTATAGAAACGTGAAATAGTTTGGGGCTTCTTAATCTCCAGATTAATAAGGATTTTCAAATTATCTTACAAAGAAATAAAAAGATCAGACAACGTCTACGAGCTACTGATTTAAAAAATGAGAATAGGCCAGGCACGGTAGCTCATGCCTGTAATCCCAGCACTTTGAGAGGCCGAGGCAGGCGGATCACCTGAGGTCAGGAGTTCGAGACCAGCCTGGCCAACATGGTGAAATCCCATGTCTACTAAAAATGCAAAAATTAGCCAGGCATGGTGGCAGGCGCCTGTAATCCCAGCCACTCAGGAGGCTGAGGCAGGAGAATCGCTTGAACCCGGGAGGTAGAGGCTGCAGTGAGCCATTATCAGGCCATTGCACTCCAGCCTGGAGGACAAGAGTGAGACTTTGTCTCAAAAAAAAAAAAAAAAAGGAAAAAGAAAAAGAGAATAAAAGTGATGGTGAAGTGTCATTTATTCATGAACTCATTCTCCTCACTGTT